CCGTCTGTCGCCAAGGTTCAACAGCGCTGACCCCGGGGCATTGCTTTGCATATTTTTATAAATAATATTATAATAAATAAGTTTGTGCTGTTAAGCGTCTGCTGGCATTATTATCCTGCCCCCAGGATTTCGGTTATCTTTTGAAACGCGTGTCTGGCGTGCTTTTATCGCCGGGGAAAGCAACTTTTGTGGCCAGCTGGGTAATTAAAGAGATGCGGTTTATAAATGGTTGAAATTAAAACGACAATATAAAGCTGTCAGCGACACTTTGAGTTGGGTCAATTATGTCTCGGGCAGATAAGCCGGGAATTAAGCGACTAAGCAACAGTTTACAGAACGGAAAAACGATGAGAAAGCTCCAAGACGGGAAAAGGCAATGAATGCAAAGTGACAGGATATTCTTTCGAGTAAAATGAATATTCAAATTAAACTTAACAGCAGATGCGTTTATGCTTTTTAAATTTCTGAAAGCTCATCTTTGTATACTATTTTCCACTGAATAAAACTTAGTTGAATATTAACCGAACCGAGTGAACAAAGCCAACCTGTAGGTCCGAAAAGATCTTTAAACAGAAATCGGATGTGAATCGCTTCAGTGAAGCTCTCAGCTTAGAAAGTGGAAGTGTTTAACCCCAAACCTCAATCCGTTCTGGAAATCGTCCTTCGCCCCAAGAACAGGATACGGATACTGCAGTAAATAATTGCCCTTTCATTTGGACAGCCTGCCCTACTAAACCCCAAAAACCACCAGAAACCGGTAGACAATTTCGATGGGGCCATAAATCTCAGTAGACTGGGCGAATGTGTGTCAGCTTAACGTTTAAAAGAACAGACAGAATTCTACGGCAATGCCAAAATAGCCAATTTCATGGCTAGTGTAAATCAAACACACCTGCAATTAGGTCTACATATACACGAGCATCCACCCACCTGGAGGGCAACTTAGGAGAGGACAAAGCTATTTAGGCAATGGCCCCAGAAACAATTTCAGGCAATTGCCAGGCAACTCATTAACATGCAGCACTAGGGTTACACTGAAATAAAGAACTTATTACCATAAAAAAGTTGAATTTGAAAATTTATGAAGTGGCTTACAGCATTTTTTATTGAAGAAAACTGATTAAATATCGAAGAAAATGTTCATGAAAAGATCAAAAGTCGCTATAATTTTTGACTGTGCAGTTTTACAACTACCCTTCTCCAGTCTTAAGTCATTGTTTGGCCCGTTTGCTTTTGTTTTTGTTGCCTCCAGAGTAGCTAATTTTTAGGGGCCTCATGTGCGGCGGGGCAAAAGGACGATGTTGTATCTGCAACTGTATCTGACCAGCCATTAAACGCAGCCATGGAAACACGCTTCGAGCATGCTAAAAGGGGTCGGATAACAGGTCTCGCTCTCACCGACAATCCCCTTTTGGAACTTGGTGTTGGCCTGGGGCCTGGAGCCCTGAAAATAGCCTGCCATAAACCAAAAAAGTGTTGAAAGTGGCGCAATGCCTAAAAGTTACAAACGTTAGCCCTACAACTTACGACACTAAACTAGGCAAAAAGTGCATTCGAGGGTCCTTGAATAAGGCCTCTCCCTTTGAGATGAGGCTAAAATGAAAACGAGCCACGGTGGCGGAAGCAATTGTGTGCGCTTTAAGGCGCCTCAAAGACAGCATTATGGGAATCATAAGCAGGATGGGAAAACGAAATGCAATCAGCTCAAGAGATTGCCAGGGAACTCATAAATATGTATTAAGGCGATTTTATTACCAGGACGAGTTCAGGTAATTTCGAATTAAGAACGCTTGTTGGATCTGTTCAAAGAAATAAATGAAAAGCAACCCCACAGGAAATAAAGTTGCTTTAATAAAAGTTTTATCATGAAACTTGCAGTCGGGAAAATAATCCGAAACTTCAATTGGTTTTAATAAAAATATACAAAAAAAACAAGAAAGGAAAGCTAACTTCGGGCGGAGCCGAAGTGTATATACCCTTGCAGTTAAAACCGGATATATATCGCAAACATCGGATATAGTTGGCCGCTCCTTATGGGAATATGAATATATAATCCAATTTATTACAATACAAAATCTAAAAAAAGTCCCAAACTTCTATCTTCCGATCGTTCAGTTATATGGCAGCTATAAGATATAGTCGGCCGATCGTTATGAAATTTGTTAGGTCGGATAAACTGACCAAAAATATAATCTGTACCAAGTTCCAGCTTTCTATCTTCAAAAACACGAAAGTTGGGTCATTTCCGATCGTTCAGTTCTATGGCAGCTATAGGATATAGTCAGCCGATCCTTACGAAATTTGGCATGTCGTATTATTTTGCCAAAAATAGCTCTCATGTCAAATTTGAACTCTCTAACTTTAAAAACACCGAAGTTATACCATTTCCGATCAATCAGTTATATGGCAGCTATAGGATATAGTCGGCCGATCCGGGCCGTTCCGACTTATATACTGCGTGCAAAGGAAAGAAGGGTGTGTGCAAAGTTTCAAGACGATAGCTTTAAAACTGAGAGACTAGTTCGCGTAGAAACAGACAGACGGACAGACAGACGGACAGACGGACAGACGGACAGACGGACATGCTTATATCAACTCAGGAGGTGATCCTGATCAAGAATATATAAACTTTATAGGGTCGGAGATGTCTCCTTCACTGCGTTGCACACTTTTGGACAAAATTATAATACCCTCTGCAAGGGTATAAAAATAGAGAAACCCTTTTTATCAATATATATAAATAGTTTGAAAGGTCAATATAACTTTACTTTTTAATAAAAAGTTATACAAATTTCTTGCACTGCTTCTTTTTGATTAAAATCATTTAAAAATCCCAACTATTTTGCAATTGGCAATCAGCTTAAGCTTCGATTTCTCAACACGATTGATGAATTATCCGTAAAGGACTCCGAAGGGTCCTCTGAAGATCCATTGATTGGCAAACACGTCAAATTGGTCAACAGACAAGCGCAAGCCTCGACAGGAGTTGAAACACTGAAATGTAGTACTCCACCCGTACTTCAACTTGAGAGACACTAGTCCTGAAGAACAAAAGGCGCAAGATGAAATGAATTGAAACAAAAAACTTTACTGTCCGTTCGAGTGTCCGTCTGCCCGTCTGCCCGTCTGCCCGTCTTTCCGCCAGCTCGCCCGTTTGTTCGTTGGCTCGAATCCTGTTTGGGCTGCCATTTAATTCAATGACGGACAACAAAGCATGGCTACTGGGATGCAGTTAACAGAACAGTGAGAAAAGCATCGGATTGCCAGGCGCTACAAATATGTGCAGCAAGTAAAGCCTGCAGAGGCAGCCGCTACCACCCAGCACATGGCCCCGATCAGGCCCCCAACGGCCCCCTCCGGGAGAAGCGTCATACAAAACAATTTCCCCTGGGGAGTTTCCATGTTCAGCTATTCGTATGTGAAAAAGCGCATCTGTTGTTGATTGTGTGAACTTCCTTTCAATCGTTTGTTTGTCCTTTCGTTCTTTCTTTGTCGCTTTTCTCTGTCGCTGCCGCTGACGCTGGGTGGGTGTTGTTTGCACTTTATTTTGTCTATTTGTTGCATTTCCAGCCGCTTCTATTTTTTGTTGTTTCGGGTGTTATTGCTGTTATCCGCTCCTGGCGAATGCCTGCAGCTTAGGGGTATGCGAAACTTGCAAGCAAAGTTTGTAGTGCCACATGGAATTTATAAAATAACGAGCTAAGTCCTTTACAGTTTTTTGAACGTGCAAAGGTTGACCAAAATGCCACAGCTAAATTTATTAAATATTTTTTAGGAAAAGTACTTTAAAAAACTCAACTAGTAAGTCCGTTCTTACCTAAAAAAGATAATCAGATTTGTTATAAAAAGATTATTTTCATATGATCGTGTATTTTAAATAAAATTTGCCAAACAAATATGTAAAGAACGTAAACCAAATAAGAGGATTTATCAAACAAAAGCCTAAAACATTGAAAACTATGAACAATCATGAGAAAATACAAATTTCATTAAAATTCATAAGGTTTACTTTTAAACCATTTTAAGCGCAAATGGATTTTCAATAGAATTTCAATGAAAAGTATATTCCGAATTCGTTTTTGATTTTTTTCGAAGGATTTTCATTTCCACATGCTGCACCGCCTGGACATTCCGTTTTTAATCCTTGGTGTGCATCTTTAGAAACAATTGCATCTTTTGTGCAAATAACTTTATAGGACGCTACCGAAAAAACGCTCAGGACCAAGAACGTTGACATTGAATGGGCGTGGGTTGGCTGGCAATGGGTGGAAGACGATGAGGGAGGATGGCTGGCCTGGATGCCAGGAGGTTACTGGTGTGCATTGTGCAATTTATTTATTGCACACAAAACTTTGTTGCCAGCCTGACAGGACGGGAGAACGCCGAGGACCGGACAACTTCTGCGAAAATGAGATAGTCACTGGCATTGTTTTCCCGAAATGAACGGAGTAATGCTGTCCCGGGAGGACGTCAACAACTCCCAGTAATAAGTAGCCATCTCGTGAAATAATAGTGCTCTCCTGTGGCAGGACTCCGGATCGGTTGAGTTAGTCGTTTATTATAATTTACGACAGTGTTCCTAAGGAGTGAACATAAAACGGCGGGTCGAATTCTTTCTCAGCAACTCTCGCACCCGAATAAATTTCAATTTAAATTAAAGCTTTAAGCCGGTATTTTGTGACGGATTCCGATGACGTCAATGCCGAGGCAAATTGCCGGAGTAGGCTGCTACCATTTGACGCAGGCGTCGCTAATCCGCGGCACTTAGCAAACAAATTGCCCCACATAAACAATTCTAATTGAGATGAACGATATGGCCGTGTACTTACATACATGCAAACCAGTCAATAGCTCACACTCCGGCCACTATGTTAAATGCAAACTAAGTTATAACTGGGCTACATTCACGCGGAGAGGGAGCTGTTACAAATGGCTAGGAGTGGGCCGGAAGGGGATTTGCATTGCCCACCGTCATAAAAGGGAGCATAAATTTCACTTACTTCTTCAGCGTGGCAGCCAATGCCAAATCGGGGCGTACATCAAAGCGGCTCTGCATATAGAAGCGCAATAAATTATCGCGTTCATTTTCACGTAATCCTTCCTCGAGTGCTAATGCGGCCAGTGTGTGATAGGATTCTGACTCCGTGATGCCGAATAATAAATCATAACTGTGGGAGAGACAGAGAGACGGGGTGAGATGGCGATGGAGTGGTCAACATGAATAGTTTGTGTTTGCCGCCGGTGTACGATGGCTAACTTGGGTCACTGCGAAAATACTAATATTTTCTTTTAGTTTCATGGGTAGGTGTTTCCCATAATTTTCGTACATATTTGGCATACAAATTTAATAAGGATATTAAATATCTGGGTACTTTTGCGCATGACAAGCTTATCACTCATACGCAGCGTTGGCCATTATTTATTGGTTCAGTACAATGAATTATGCAAAAAAAATTACTGCTGTGGAAATATATGCTCTGACTAACCATCTTTAAAAAATAAAATAAATCACATTTTTACCAAGTATTTTTTATCAGTGCTTGATTTTCTGCTTGGATGGAACAAAAGTCCAATGAATTCCCATAAAACGCAGTTAAAAGCACTAAAATAAAACGAGCTTTTCGTTCCTGTGGCGTAACTTGTTACGCCGCCTGATAAATGGTGCGACTGGTGCTCTACTATGCAAAGTGTTCCAACCCCAGGTCCCCCAAACGCCCCAGGCGCAGAGGTTAGCCCGCAGGACTCCCAGGCTCCCCGCGCTCCCAAAGTGGACATTGTCTTCCTGTTGCTCAGTGGACATCAAGCAGCGGGCGCATTAAAAGTTCCTCTCAAGTTGGGGCCGGAAACTTTGCTCCGATAAAAGTAAATGCAAAGCTGCTGCTGCTTCTGTTCTTGCTCCTGATGCTTTTGAAAAACTTGCTAAATTGAATGGAGATGCCGATGGAATGGCAACATGAGCCATGTTCGAGCAACACTTTTCTGCACTTTCCGGGCGTTCAATCATTTGGAAGGCTTTGGCCCGTGGTCATCGCTGATTAAGGTGATTAAAAGCCAAGCCTCGAGTGATCCGGCCCCTAAAACAAAAACTCTGGCCGTGTGAAACGTGCTTTCACTCCACTTTCCCAACTCAACCGTGACCTGCCTCTCTGTCCGGACCTCTGCACTCTTCTCTGTCTGTTTGCCGTAATTAATGGCTCTTCCTGGCAGCTATTATTCTATTTTTCCCGGAGCTGCGTGTCAAACACGTTTGACTTGCAAAGGATAACAATTAAAATCAAATTAATCACGCATTTTATTAGATTATACCGTGTTAGGTTGACCGAATGGCTGAGCAGCACGTGCCCTAATGTTCTCCGGGGAGACCGGGAGCAGCGGAAGGAACCAAGCCAGCGGATACCGGACTCCTGGCTCCGGTCTGTACCGCGCGGAGTTGAGTTATTACTTGTTGCCCAATTGATTGATGGATGGGTGTAATTTATACGGGGGCATCATGGCCCAATCTCTTGAGCAAGCTCTTTGATGCGTCTTACCCATTATTTGTTTAGGGCTTATTGAATTTTCTTCGGTTACACGGAGAGAAAATTTCCCAGGCTTCCACTTTCATTCTATTAAATACTTTTTCTAACTACTTGAATTGTTTTTTATGTGCATTTTATAAATTACTATTGGCTTTTAATGCCTTCACCTTCAACGTGACCGCACCTGAACTCAATTCCAAACCAAAAATGTGCCTGGAGCACCGCCGTCCATCGGAATAGTCAAGGCCACGATAATCAGAATCCCAACGGGTGTTGAGTGGAATGTTTGCGTTTTTTTCCTGGCCCATGTCAGGACCAACAAGTGACATTCGAGCCGTAATTTGCTCGATGATAACTGATCCAAACGCCAACCCAAAACTGCCGTGTTAAATGGTCTGCCCCATGCTTCGATTTTCACAGACGATTTGACTTCACCTGAGGGCAAACGCAGGCACCGAAAAGAAATACCAGACGTCTAATCAAGTAGCGCCCAATAAATAGAACGGTGAGCTGTCTCTGTCCCGAAAAACGACCAAAAAAAAAACCCCAAGCGGAATGTTTGACAGGTCCCTACGGTCCGCCAGTAAATATCAAACGCAAAGGAATTGCCAACGGTTTAGGTTAAGGCAACGGCAATCGAAAACGCAATGGCATTGCCAATGGCTGTACGGGGATATACGGGGGAATTCTTAACAAACCGGCTGAAGTGCTCCGTATAATGCCCCATGACCTTGTACGGTTGATTTGGTATTACATGTCCATCGACAATTGGACCCAATGATGTTGAAAATTGTGTGAGCGCTGTTGGTATGTGCAAGATATCCTGGTAGCTGTAAAGAAACAAGAAACGGGATAGAATGCGTTAAAAGGTCCTGCAAAATGGGTATAAAAATATACACATATATATTTATAGACAGAAGTAAAAGGGACCGCTGTTGGGTTCCAGGCGGCTCTTAGGCTCAGCGTCTCATCAGCCCAGCTGGCTGACAGCGGTCACTTTTCACTTTGATTTGAAATTTCTAATAAATTTTATGTGTGATTTGTTGCTGGACACTCGTTGGCACGTCCGCGTACTGCCAACAAACACGTGGCCCCCATAAAGCGATGCCCACCCAGATACACATATGGCCTTTGGGGGCATTGCCGAATTACATCGCAGAAAATTAAGATGACTTCAAGTGCCAAAACCCGTGTTTGTAAGTCACTATAAAAGCCCAATATAAACAAGCTCTTAAAGCGGAAGAGGACTAACATCAATATACTTTAATACGAGATACAAAATATCCAATATGGGAAAAAGAAAATATGTATTTTAAAGTAAAAATATCAAAGAATAGTTTCCCTTTGTTGCATCTAATATTTCAGGAGAATATTCCAACTATCCTTGCAAATGCCTTCCATCAACGTAAATTTATCTTATCAGTGGCACTTTGTATTTCTACTTCAGTTATGTCATTTTTATACAAACTATTTTTTCCTCCTTCAAGACCATAATAAAGCCGTTTTCCCACGCACACATTGGGGCCCCAGATTTACACCCATATCTAGGGGGCTTACGGGGTATGTGCAACACTTTTTCCAACAATAAAATGCTTCGAGTATATGAAATACAATCATCGCACAACTCGTTATATATGTATGTATATATGTATGTACACTATACCTGCTCATGCGATCTCTGGTTTGAATCTTCCTCCTGAAAAACCATTTCCGTTCGCAGCACTATATGTGTATGCACTTTTTGCTCTTTTCCGTAACGTATACTTTTGGCCGCTTCGTTGGCTCTTTTGGCCTTCGATTGGGCCAAACCATCCGCTACTATCGCATCCCTCTATTGATACAAAATTGCAGTGGCAAAATGGTTCAGTTGGGTGCAATTTCTGGCATAGTTTGCATAAAAATCCACATTCCAAAGCTCCAGCTGAAGTGTCGATGGCACAGAAATTGGCACAAATTAAGAAAAGAACCAGGGGAAAAATACAATATACAAAAAATATGTGAAAAATCTGAAATATTTTGGTTGCCGCAGTTGGACAATGGTTATCTAAGAAATGCAGACCAGAAATAAACCAGCTGAGGTAGCTGCAATAGAAATTCAAATAAACATCCTGCATGCTCAGCTCCGGGTAACATTTCTCTACTGGATTAAGGAATTCGACAGTTTCCCACATGGTTCATCGTTCCTCATTGATTTACCAAAGAAATATAGAGAACGATAAACTAGACTTCGTTAATCATTGAGCTCTGTTTGAATTCGACTTAAATCGGCTATGGGAGAAAATTCAATTGGACAATATGCCAGGGATTCTTGGCATCCATTCACATGCTAAGCCCAAAAAAATCCGAAAAATTGCCAACTGTCGACGGGTGTGCAAGTGTTAATTCACTCAACACCTCTGGATCCCATTGAAGAGGGACATTATCGTAATCCATTTGAGCTGGCTTGGATGTGCAGTGCAGCCATCGATTGGTAGCCATCAAACACTTTTAAGTAGAAATGCCATCAGCTGCACTTTAAGGGAAGTCAGCTTCAATCCAGAGAAAAAAATTAAAATTTTTTTTAAATGGTTATCCAAATTTTTGATATTCTTTCGATGAACTTATAATAGCAACATACTAAAGTTTTTCCAAAATAATGTTTCCAAATAGGTAATGTTTTCTCATTCCAATTTTTTTTTTGTGCAATTATAAGCTCTGCAGGACTTGTTTCTGGCTCGTGTGGTCACCATGAGTCCTGGCTATCGACACAAGACCAAGTTTATTGCTAAAGTCTGCACCGCACAGTCAAAGCCACAGCTACGTGAGCTCCATGCTTGGCTTGTGTTTTCCTCTGACTTTGACAATTTGTGAAGCTAAAACAATTCGGCTTGCTGTGGGAAAGTTTGGTCCTGGATTCTTGGAGTTCCCAGGAAAACCTCTTTATCGACGTCGTAGCGTCAAAGTTGCTGGGCCGGAGCCGTGTGATTTATGATTTTCATATATGTTGGAGTTTATTTCTGCTGCGTTGTTGGTTCTTATTAGCTCGACTGGTGCAAAACTGTCACAAGCTGAGCTGCAACTGCGATTAACTCGTTAGACACACAATATGTGCGATTTCTCTCCACACAAGTATATACCTAACTATATATCGCATATTGTGGCAGTTTTGTTGAGACAATCCCCAGCACACACAGATACACTGATGCACAATTTGTCAGTGTGCTGGTGGCAGGAACGAAGATTGATGATATCCTTAACGGGCTGCATGTAGCTACTTGAACTACTATTCCACAATACACTTGCTGTGAGTCCTGAGCAGGCGAGCCGAACATTTATTATGCCCCAGTTTAGCCTTGTCCCTATCAAGGATTTGGTTTTAGTTTCAGTTTCTATATCTCTATTTCTAGTTGTATCTGTATCTGCATCTGGCCCTCTTCCGGTTAGTGTTTGTTTTTGGTCCTGCTTAAGCTGCCTGCATCTTTGTGCTTTCTATTTAATGAATTTTTAATATGCTCTGCCTTTTTATTTTGTCAATTGAACGCTCTCGACTGACACAAAGCAAACACAGCTTGTGTGCCGCAAGGCTAGGGATTATTTGTGGGCCATCCCGGCGTATACTCGATATAGCAGCCTGAATTTTTGCATTTTTAAGACGATTAGTAACACAAACTTTGTGTTTTACATACTTTTATGTGTTTGCATAATATTCACCTTGAATTATTAAGTTGAATATAAATTTCCACTATAACTCGTCAAAGCTTCTGGATATAATCGCCTTTCACAAGCAATTTAAGTTTTCGGACTTTCGTTTAATATATTCCGAAAATATGCGATAATCATCTTAACAAATATTTAAACTATTAGAAGAAAAGACAAAGGATGCAACTGCTCATTTTAAGTGAAGTGTACAATCGGAAAACTAGTTATTTGAATATATGTTCTCGGGCAATAGTCAGAGTAAACTTGGCCATCAGTAAATAAAGATCAAAAGTCCTGTTTACTTTGCAAACACATTAGGCTGGGCCATAGAGTAAATAATTTGAATAAATTAGCAAGTTGGGAAGGCACACATTCAAATCAATGGGCAGGATTTGGGGAAAAGTTCTATTAAATATTTAGAGGGCCAAGGACCCGGAGACAAAGGCTTATGCACATCCTTGGGAGGGGGTTAAACAAATGCCACTGCTACTCCCAGCCCACTCTTGTTTGGCCAAGCAGTTGTTACCTGTTTGTGTTTCAGGGGGTGTGGCTGTGCAAGTTTCGTGTGCCTGTGCTGGAAAAGCGATGAGCACATTTGCTCAGTAATTCATGCATAATTCATTGCATTCATTTAACACTCGCTCTCACACACAAGCTACTCAACCACCGCTCGTTCCCACACCAAGTCGCTCACTCACTCATTTAAGCATTCACTCGTTTATTCGTTCAGTTCAGTTCAGTTATTTAAGTAAGCTGCCACAAGAGGTTGCATTCCTCAGGCCCAAGCAAGAGACAAGCTTATTCATTTAAATATTCTGCAATACTCCTTTCATTGAAAGCATTTCCACTTTTCAACAGAATATCTTTCAAATGAGTAGAAAATTTTCAGAATCTTTTCAGGACTTAAATACTTTGAGTATGTAAGAGTTTAATACCTTATGTTTTATTTATATTGGGCATTAAAGAAGTGTTTAATTGGAAATCGTTCTTTGTGTGGAGCTTTTATTTCAGTTTATTTCTTTGAAGTCCGATTAAATGTCACTGCAGAGCCTTTGAGATTCCTTATGCTCCAGTTACAATTTCCGGTGCCTTGACGTCAGCCAAAAGTTCTGGGTCTTCAAGTTACTGTGCCGATTCGTAATAAGGACAAGAAAGTGAATAGAAAGTAGAAAGCAGAAAGTTTTCAAAGGCTTACAAACACAGAGGCGCAACCGACTGTTGCATCATCGTGTTTGTTTGGCGGAGTGGTTGACAGTTTTTGTGTATGAGTGTTTGCTCGCGTAATTAACATAATTACTATTATTGTGCTGTTGTTGATTTAGTTTTACATATTTAGTTTCATGCGCTTTTATTTCATTTTGTATGCAAATTGTTTTTCAGTTCTCCCTTTTGTGCTCTTCTGTGCATACAAATGAACTCTTTCCCGACCCCCCCTCACGAGCACGAAAACATGGAGCACATAGACCCACACATGCATTAAATGCTCCTAAATAAAAAAATGCATTTAAGTCTCCCCGGGTTTGTTTTCAAGAGTTTTTAGTTACACTTTTTTAATGGAAAGGGACCCGGCATGGTCCTACATACACGACTACAAATGTATCCGGGTACTTTTGGTTTAAGCCGGTGAAATGCGTGCAATGAATATCAAATGAAAATAATACGCGGCGAGAGATATTCGTTTTTAACATGAAATATATATACTACGTAAATATTGCAATATTTCAATAAAATTTCTTGTGTAAATGATAGTGCTTTCATTGGAAAAATGTAGTCTTGTTAATCAGTTAAAATATGTTTAAAAGCAAAACCCAATTGTTTTATTAAACAAATTTGAGCTTCTTGTTTAAATTGTTGCATCCATTCCTTAAATTAGAAAACTTTGGCAAACTTTTTAGCACGAGAAGTATAGAAGCCCCTAATTCCGACACTTGTGAAATAAAGTTAAATGGGGTCAGAGAAAAACTTGAAAAATTAATCAATTACGACTTAATTAAACTGAAGTCCTGCCATCCATCACCCACTTGAAAGTCCCACCCCTGTTGAAAGTGACCCAGACCTAGCAGGACACAGGAGATTAGTGTGTATAATCGACATGCAAATACGAGGGTACCGACATGAACATTATGCGTGATTAGTCAAGGTCCTGCGACTGAAGGATGGAGTAGGAGGCTTTAATGCCTCATTGAGATCGTGGCGCTGCAAACTCGTACATTTAGCGAATCATTAGGCACAGGACACAAAGGCCACCAAACTCCAATTGGTAGATGAACTGAATCAGAGGCCGTGACACTGAATACTGGATACCATGAAGATGGAGGGCATGGAGCACATCCATATCTTTCTAGTATCCTTTCTCTTTGTGTAGCTGATGGGCTCCATCCAAAATTATGCCTGTTTATTATGTCCCCCCTCTCCTAGCTTATAAGCTCATCGGTAGCCCTAAATAATTCAATTGGTCGACGATTACTCACCGTCGATGGCGCAAACAATCCAGCAGAACATCATCGTCCTCCGCCTCCACATGCTCGTGGAGGGGGCAGTCGAGGGCGTGGGCGATTTGCATGGTCAATTGCAAGGACTGATTGCTGGCGGCCCAGTCGGACATGGCCGACCCGGACATAAGGATGGCGCGGTGGAAGAGGCCTGCGGACGATGGAGTGGCCAAAATGAGCTCCCTTCAAATTACGTCAATCGAATTCCAAAATGATTTTGCTCACCTGAGGCCACCGGCGACACCATTAGATAATTGACACATGCCGCTCCAGTGCTGTGACCCATCAGCGTGACCCGCGAGTTGTCTCCGCCGAAGGCGTCTATGTTCTCCTTAATCCAATGGAGAGCCGCAATCTGATCCAACAGAGCGTAGTTGGCAATATTGTGGGCGTCGATGCTGGGGCGCAGGAAACCTAAAAAAACGATAATCCATTTAATGGATACAAAACGAGAAATGTGTCCGATGCTTACCCAGCACACCTAAACGGTAATTGACAGTGACTACAATCACTTCACCATAACTGGCCAAAACGGAACCATCGTAGGGATTGCCACTGTTCCACTCAAAGGACTCGCCATGTAAATAAACCAGAACTGCATATTTTTTTGGTGTACTTTGGGTCTCTGAAATTAATAGAAAAAACATATATTTTATTTGTTATACCAATTTCGTAAGAAATAGTAAATGATGCTTAATAAACCTACCTTCATGTGGCACATATAAATTCAGGTACAGACAGTCCTCACTTTCCACTCGCAAGTAAGGAAATAGACGGGTCAGGTGTCTGAAGCGACCCCGGGACATGTTCTTACTTCCATGTGGCGACAGGTCCGGCAACTTTTGTGGGCATACCGGCGGAAGGTGGCGAGCTATCTTCAAGCCTTGCCAAGGCAAGGGAGCACCTGAAACGTCAGAAACAGATAATTTTATGATATTATTATACCATTAACATTTAATGCCACAACATTAAAGCCACAGGATTTTAAGTTAAAGGCAACATGTTATTATAGTTTGTGTTTCACTGCAAGGTTCAATCCGTTATGAAAGTATGCAATATAAAATATTTGACCAAGACGTGGGGGCACATACTGAAAGCATCAAAAACTTAAAAGTTAGAAGTAATATTTTAGCAACTCTTTATCTCCAAAATGTTTTCAATTTGGGAAAATGCATCCATTCAGCTTTCAAATAAAAAAACCAACTACCATTCCATGTTCAGTGACAGTCGTAAGGGGATAAAAAATGGCACCCAACCCATTGTGGTAAAAGCACATTTTGCTGTTTCTAGTTTACCCGTTGGACATCGGAGCCATTCGATTGCTTTGGAAGACCTGTGGCCAAAAAGTCAATTCCGTATTTATGTAACACGGTCAACAGGCACTTGAAAACGCCATAAACAAGCAAACACATGCACGTCCCGGGCCACACACATTTTCCGCCTTCGCACCCACAACTCTCGGACTTCCTGCCCACAAGTGCCCGGACACCGGAGAGCAAAGGACACTCGGTCCTGCCAGGATGCGACTCCGAATCCGATTCGTGGCCAAGTTGACTGCGGTTACGCTTTGGTGTGGCAGTTAACGTCAAACCGTGCTCGCAGATGCGGAGAATCGTCGGTGAATTGGCAACCGCGATTTGGTCAAGTTAGTTCGGATTCTGGTCACTGCACAGATATAGCCTCATCTGTATCCATATCCAAGCTGTTGCGGTTGGCAGGATGGCCAGGATGAATGGTCGTACATGCGTTCCCATGCCAATCCATCTGGGTCGAGTGCTTCGAGATTGCTTACAAATTTTGACACCACATTGTTAGGGTTGCAGCTTATTTTGCGGTTATTTGCGATCGATATGCAAATGCTAAGGACTTAGGCAAATTAAGTGGCTTCAATCAACATTCACGATTGGAAAATATTATTGCATGTTTTGAGGGGCGTTTAATATTAACAGCCGTGGCTTGTTGACTATAATTCATTCAAGACCAACCGATGCCGCACAATTTCAATTTCAACAAGTTTATCCAACGGAATGGTGGCGCCGAAAAGGGGGCAGGACATACCTTGAATCAATGCCAATTCAATTTCGATACAGGCTCAACACGCCACAAAAATATGCAACATTTACACTTTGACACATTCCCGGCAGACAAATTTCATTTCGTCGCGTTATTGTGCCCATAAAAATGCGAAGAAAAGAGCAAGCTCCATGCATGGAAATTCATATCCATGATGGGCCAAATTCGCGGATGTGAGCATTATTTGCATATTGTTATTAATAAATTTCGCAACTGGCAACAGGACGGTCCCCTAGCCGGTATTTGTACACATGTGTGTATAGAAAACTCCTGCAGAAAATTCGGGAGGTACGAATCGAAAACGGAGTATATTTGTTTGGGTGCTGAGCGCAAACAAAATCTATCGCAGTCCAAACACCCAATCCCACACACATCCAAAGCACACGCACAGCTCACATACACTCTGGAATAGAAAGGACTTTGTTTGTATACGGGTTTCTACGTCCTCCGCTTTGACAGACCCTCTACACATTACGCATACGCAACGTGAGCATATTTGCATTGGCTTATATTTGCCCGGCGAATTTCAAGGCAACTTGTATCGGCGACTGTCATGTTTGCAATGCCACACTCACAACAACTTCCCCCGACAAATATGCCACGCGGCCTGTCTCCAGTTGCTGCTGTTGCTGTTGTTGCAGCAAAAGTTGCTGCCGGGATGCAATGTGTTGCTGTTGCTGCTGGTGATGGTATTGCTATTGTTCTGCGGCCGTCCGTTTGGATTGAGTGCGCGGCACTCAAGTGCTCAATAAACTCAACGCGACAAGCGCCAATGTGCAAAATGAAAACTGCAACTGGTAACTCCGACCAGCCCATCCTGCATGCAAATCGCGGCCAACACTTTCGACAGTCCCCGGGGCGTGTTAATTTATTGTCTTTACGTAATACAAAGCACAGCACACTCTCTGTCTGCACTTTAAACATTTTCGCATAAATATTTTTAAATATTGCGTTTTGGTTTTAAAATTTGATTCTCTTACAAAGAAAATCCAAAATAAATGTCTTATTTTATTTCTATTGTCATAACTTGTATCATTAAAAAATTCAAATATCCTTTGCCATTTTTCTATGTGTTCCCCAGAGTTAAACCGAAAGGCCAAGTGGCAGGCAGGACGTTGTGGTGCGAACAGTTGGAACTGCGGCGTGTTTATGGCCAAAACAGACGGACAAACTCCAAAAACTTGGTCCACACACTTGGGGTGGCAGCTTGGCGCCCACAAATCTCACAGAAGAGTTGGCACAGCCTGGCTGAATCATGTTTTGATAAACAAAATTAAAAATACATATTATAATAGCAATTCCCACTCTTAATTAAACAAGCAAAATATTCATATGTACGAAAGTCCGGGACATAATCACACAGCATATGGCCAGAATCCAGATGAATGAACAAACTAAGGGGAGGATCCAATTTACATTGCAATCCTTGTAAAAACAAGCTGCAATAATAATAGCCATTCGAGACATGGCAAAACACCAGAGCAGAGCAGAGCAGCCGGAAACACACAGACAAGGACGTGCTTAAAGCCCCAGCATCCTGTCGGATCGGTGTTAGAGAGGGCACATGTCAAGTTTTGAAAGCCTAATGCCGGGGCAGCTCCAACAATAATTGCTTAAATTGCAGGCTAAATTCTAAGTGCCCCAGCAGCATCCCAGCTTTCCAGCTCCCAGCAGGATGTTCTTACATGGTCGGCAGGCTGTTCAAGGAGTTCAGCCCCTCCGTGGCCCCCCTCAGGCTTTGGGGTTTTTGGGTTTGCGTGTTGGTATGGCAAAGTGGCAATTTGCCATCATATTTGCGGTCCAAAACAGAGCTGGTCCCTCTCGGTGGAAAAGTCCACACACAGCCAAATGGCAGGGATTTCTCAGATTATGTGGCCCCTTTAAGGTGAGAAAGGACCAATTTGCTTGAATCCATTGATTAATAAACAAGAAAGGAAGTTTCATTTCGGGCGGAGCCGAACTGATATACCCTTGCAGTTAAGATTGGAAATATCGCATATAGTAGTAATTGGATCCCTTGAACATGTTGTTTTCCCATTTATGGCCCACAATGATGGCTATCTTTCTCCAATTGTCATCCGATTCTCAAGCGGAGTACATTAAATGATTTCTTGATCGATTTCCCACCATTCTGCGTCAAAATCTTGCGACAAAATATTTTTTAGATTTCTTGTACATTTTTCGTGATGGGATCCCTTGAAAATGGGGTTTTCCCCTATAGGGCCCACAGTGATGGCTATATCTTCCCCAATTTCCTACCGATTCTCAAGCGGAGTACCTTAAATGATTTCTAGATCGATTCTGCACCATTCTGCATCAAAATCCTGAGACAAAATATTTTTTAGATTTTTTGTCCATTTTTCGTGATGGGATCCCTTGAAAATGGGGTTTTCCTCTATGGGGTCCACAGCGATAGCTATATGTTCCCCAATTCTTATCCGATTCTCAAGCGGAGTACCTGAAACGATTTCTAGATTGATTCTCCACCATTCTGCATCAAAATCCTGAGACGAAATATTTTTTAGATTTTTTGTCCATTTTTCGTGATTTCTTGAAAATGTGGTTTTCCCTAAATGGCAAAAGTGATGGTTAAATTTCCCCCAATTCTCATCCGATTTCTGGGTCGATTCTCCACTATTTAACATATTGGATTATAGTTTTCCTACTTGTGTGTTTATTTAAGTTGAAATTGAATAAAAGCTCAATGTATTTTTAAAATTTTTTTCAGAACTTCTATGAGTATTGGCAAGCAAAATAATATTTATATTAAATAGATTAAAATTTAAATTAAAGCTTGGTTACCCACCTGGTGGCATGAAGCGTCGGTTTCCGGTAGGAGCCTCTGCATAAGGCAACCCCAGGAACTGGTCGACGTGGCGCAGCCCACTCGTGACCTGGAAGCGACGGGTAATTCCCATGAGCCGACCCTGCTTCACCTGAATCTCCTTGGTGTATTGAAGCTTGTCGGGCACCACATGTCGTCGTTCGGGATGATGTGTGGTTGTGGCTTCTGCCGAGTTCGCGGCTGAATTTGTGGCCGTGGCGCCGTCATCGTCACCGAAGTCGGTTATTGCTGCTTCACTGGACTCTTGCCGCTCGTCGCTGTCAAAAAGCTGAACCACACTCTGCCTGAAATGATGCTCCAAATTCTGGCCGGAGGAGGTGGCCTTGGCACGTCGCATCGGCTGATGGCCAATTGATTTGGCGGCAGTGGCATCCGTCGATGTCGTTGTGATGTCGCCGACAACCCGCGTTTGCTTTGGGGTCGCACGCAATTTTAGTGAATTTTCCAGCTCATTTCCCTGGTGAAACTCGCTGGCTGCATTCTGGGCGATTTCTGCTGCCACGCCCCAGCAGCCACCGGGGCTTAATTGCATGTGATTGCCACCAACTGTCAGCAGAAATAGCCAAAATGCTGCCGAACGAAACTTCATGGCTTTGTCTTCCGTTCGGAGGATTCGGCTCTTCCGTTTGGTTTTCGCCCACTATTTTCAATATTAATTTCGGCCCTACAGTGTGTTTTGGCCAAAAACTTTTCACATTCCGCTTGTGTTTCGTGTTTGTCTTAGCCTGCTCCCCAGTTTTCCTGTTTTGTTAATTGTACTTTTTTCTTTTTGGTTTCCCTCCTGTTTAGATGTCCAACCGAGTGGCTCACATTTTTCCGACGCTCCGTATTTACATGGACTCGCTTTGAGCGCCTTAAATAGTTTCGCCAGCTTATTTACTTGCAATGTTTAGCAGGCAGGCTCCTTTGTCCAGTTCGCTTAGTTTCACGTCCTATCCCACTCCCATTGCCGTATTTCATTTCATTTGGCTACAAAACTTTATCCGGCTTTTGTGCGTCCGAACTTTGTATGCCGAAAGAAAAACACTAAGAAAAAGTGGGTGAAAAACTTAGAGTAAATTGAAGGCGCGTAACAATTTCATTATTATTTAATTGCTGTTCTCCAAATATTTCCGAGATACTTTGTTTACGCCTCCCTTTGACATTTAAAGTTACTTGGCTTTAAGGCACTCTAACAGAAACCACTCACATACCATTTAAATGCTCGTTTTGATTGGACCATTTATCACTGCATTTTCTAATTGACAGGCACACACTATTCATTTCCAGAATTTCAAGTATATTTTTGAGACTTCTCCACGCTGCCATGGCTGCGGTGGCAGCCATTTATTTATAGTGGCCATCATGAATTCTGACTTTGGACATTGTCAAATCGATTCAATTGAAGAAAAATGAAATGAAAAGAAACTTCCGACATTTTATTTGAATATCTCTCATGTTTTATTCGATAAGAAGTTGCCATTTAAAGTGTATATTTGTATACAAATATGGTAAATTGAACAAACGTCAGTCATTCATATCCTGACATATGGCAAATGTGCTGCGAAGGCTTTTCAGAGTTTAGTGCCGTGTAGTTTTCACATTTGCGTAACGTAAACAAAAAGTAGTCAAAATGAAAATGAAATGGCATGGAAAAGCCAGGCCATAACGAAAGATTTCCCATGACGATTAATCATAAAAACAGAAATACCAATGAAAATTCAATTAGGTTCTTCTGTTTCTCCTCCATCTCGATTTGTGTCGACACGCCAGCGAAGTGAGCTAATTTCGCTATAAAAGTAAAGCAAATGCAAAAATCTAAAAATGAAAAGGAATTTAAATGTTTTTTTACGATCGCGCTAAGAAAACTGTTTTGGACCACGCGGATGGAGGGGTGCTGTGCCATGCCTGGCACATGTGTGTGGGAACTTAAGATGTGTGACAGTGGTGTGCAAGTGGGCACACACGTGCCCGAGCATATATCAAAATAATCACAACGCACTGACACACTAAAAGCATTTTCACAATAACAAACCCAAATAGAACAAGATAATTTAAGAAATAACAAAAATATTTAAGGGACAAAAGTCGAAGAGTGTGTGCTCTTTTAGGACACAAAGATAAAAGTAATACCCAGTACAGATTATAGCCACTACCTGGTAATGACAACCATTTTCCTCTCATAACGATACTAACTAGTCAGCTATGAATTTTTAAGTAATATTCAAATTTAGTAGGGATGTCGGAAATATATCAAAATATCGATATATCGATATATTTTCTCTTAAAAAAATATTATTATCGTGATATTTTTTGGGCAAAAATAGTCGATAATAATATTTTTGAGTTGGTGTTCTCCGATATTTGTTGCGAAAGAAAGGAAATGCAGGTTTACTTGAGTATGCCATTTTGTAGTTGGGAGACAAATCCGTTGGAATTCTGGAACTCACAAATTTCAACGATGCCGATGCTAGCGAAGGTTGCTTTAAGTTTTCTTATCACGCCTGGAAGTTCGGTTCCATCTGAACGGTTGGCTTCTGCCATTAAATGTATTGTCTGTGACTCCCGTAGTCGAATGACAGACCAGCATATAACCGAAAGAGTTTTTTTTAAATCATTGAAGAAAGATTTATTTTGTAATTAAGAGTAATTAAGAGCATTAAATAAGAGAATTAAGTAATTAGAATTATTAAGTACATATTCCATGAATTCCATGAAACTTTTTTTTTTTGTATAAAGTTTTTTTATAAATAAATTTGAATACAATGTCCTGAATAATTTTGTTATTTTTTATTTCAAAGAACTTAAATAAAAGTTGCTTGAGAGTGGGTATAAATATTTGTTGTTTTTTCAATTCACTTTTTAAATAAAAAAATATGTCTTATTTGCAGTTCATGGCGGATAAAAACACATATTAAAACCTTTTTTTAAATTTAAAAATAACCTTTTTTCAAATTTAGCTGACTATAAAAAATATCGAAAATACTCGATATATCGATTTTTTTGGGTGATATTTCTGAATATTATCGATTGATATTTTTTTCACAGCAAATATCATCAATACGATATTTTTTCAAAAACCAACAACCCTAAAATTTAGATTCATAGTACATGGTTGATTTGTATTCCCATATTTTCCAAAATAAAGCCAAATTTTTGCGCAACAGTAAACAAAAAACTGTCTAGCAAATAATAAAAAATGTCGTTAAATGAATTTGCTATTTATTACGATTTTTGTCGGCACTTTTTACTGCCTTTGTGTGCCTGGCCGGATATCGGCAAATGTACGGGGATGTGGGCGGGTGTTTGCATCACAAACACCCATAAATGTCAAGGTACATTGACTGTGAACATAAAATTGACCTTTTGCTAAGTGAAGAGATCTGTGGAAGTGGAAAATGGTGTTGAAGTGGAGTTTATCCAAGCACTTAGCGAGCCGTGAAAAGCTCCGTCGCAGAAGGAAACCTCATAAATTTTCCCAACAACTCGCACGGAAACTAATTGAGTCAACATGACCGGATATAGCTATCTTTTAAGCCATCTTGTTATGGGCGTTTTGGTATTTTTAGGCTAAAATGAAATAGAAAATCAATGCTATTTTCGGGTTTTGTTTTCTTGGCAATCATTCGATTTAACATATCCACTAACTGAAAGTAAATTAAGACAGCTGTCGGGGCCATTAAATGCAAATTTCGAAAAAACGAAAACCGAAAGTGCAGCAGCTAAAAACACTATTGTAGCCACTAAAATTGGGACTAATATAAAATAAATAGACAGCAGATGAGGCAAAAGCGAGATAGAGAAAAGAGATTCGATGCAAATTTAAACAAAATGCACAGCACGGCGAGGCGTTAAAAATAAACAGCAAGTGCTTAAAAATAAAAGCGAACGAGCGAAAATATTCACGGAATTCTGCTGCATTGTCCGCGCACTCCACGAAATGTCGTCACCAAAGGCAAAAATAAATAAATAGAAGAATTTGTGAAAATAAAAGAAAAATCAGGAGACAAACTTGCCAGTTGGCAGTTGGCAGCTGGCGAAAGAAAAACGCACCAAACGGAAACAAAATGGCCAAATCAAAAGAGGAAAAAATGCCGGGGAAAAAGTAGAAAGCAGTGGAAAACTGCAATTGCAATTTAAGCAAAGTGATTTGATTTGGATTACTCTGTCGCTGAGCGCGAAGTCACTTATTTTTTGCCAGTCCACTTCGCCCAATAGAAACAATTCGGGGAATGCCTTTCTACCTCCGACAAAGTCACTCAGCAGAGCGTTCGACATTTTCGATTGCTAGAACACACAATTTGTGGGTCAATTGAAGTGTGCTGCTGCCTGCCTGCCTGAATAAACTTTAAATTGGAAACAAAAGCCGACCCTGCTATCCATTATCCCCGTAATCAATAGCGAAACACCATTTCCAACATAGTTTGAAACCAGATGTGACAGTGTCATAAATTATACGATGGCAGCGATGTAACGATTCCGGTGAGAGTTCCTCCAACGCGTTTGTGATGCAAATGATGGCAGAGAGGCCACGTAGCCGAGGTCCCGTGGGTTAAACCCTAGACCCTCCTCCCCTTTTGGCCCCCTTTTGGGACCAAACAAAAACAATATTCTCTGGGACCCCAAACAAAATTTGCATAATTAGCACAGAAATGTCGACGCATTGAAAGCTGTCACTTCTGACACGGCACACAAATGAAATGAAAACTAAAAAGTGCCCACAACCAGCAGCAGCAAATTAGTTGCAACTAATTTTAGCTGACTTGCAGAAACAAAATTTGGAAATAGGCAAATGCAAACAGCGACAAAAAGTTCAACAAACCCATGCCAAACAGGCTAAATGCGAAAGATCGTGCCGAATTATTTCGAATTATGAGATTTATTTTTGGTATATCGTCCCTCGTTGCGACACAAGCCAACTAAAAATTGTGCATTTGCAAGTGGGCGGTGGGTGTGGATATTAACAGGCAAATTAAACGAAAAGTTTATTTTTAACTAATTCGGTTACTCGCTAAACAAGCACATCATTTTAATTTGTTTACGCAAAACTTTTTCGGAATCCGCCGAAAATAAGGGATTTCTATCTAATGCACGTGGATAAACAATAATTCTAGAGATTTCTGAGATTATTAGGCCTAGAGAAACTTGAATTTTATTCACTAAACAAAACCGACTTGTTGGATAATCCTCAGTGCAAATATTTTATTAAATCTGTGAAATAATCCTTTGGCTTTTTTATTTGGTCTACACGTTGAAATGTTTACGAGCATCATTCAGCACTTAATTTGTGAGTATTTCTCGTCTGCTCCACTTTTATATATTTTTATACACATGTATACCGTCTTTATTGCATTTAAAATTTATTTAAAGAGCATAAAAGCGCAAACAAAGGATCCCAGAAATATTGGATATGTTTTCGATTTATCAATTAATGAAAATTGACGCATTAATTTGTAAGGACATATATGAATGACCCTCGATGTTCAATGGAGCACAGATATTCCTTTGGAAATGTGTTTTCACGGGTTATTTGATTTTCGAATCGTCAGCAATTTTTCGGTTGTCAATTTCTTAATATTTGCTTTACCAATTGGCGGTTGATTTGTTATATCTTTGATCTGGTCCGAAAATGCGCAAATTATTTTGGCAATGGACGCAGAGGGACTCAGCTGGTTTTATTATTTACGTTTGTCACTTTCAGCGGATGTGCAGAAAAGATATTTATTTTCGATTGTTTTTCATTCACAAACGATTGCACCACACTGAAAATAAATCACTTTGCGGCAAGTTTTCTTCGAACTGATTAACTTGGATGCCTTCTTCGCGTAAACATTTTTACTCGAGCACTTGGCACGCGTTCTGTTTTTGTCCCCCTTTTGCAGATAGTTTCACGGTGTTATTTTTGGATCACGCACAAGATTTATTTCGATGCCGCTTGGCTTTGCTTAACTAAGTATTTCCCCCAAAGAAAATCCAAGACGAACGGAAAAGCGATCCACAACCGGCACGATCGGCGCTCGAACTGCAACTGTTCGGGTCCCCAGAAGAACGGAAGAACCGCCGGGGATTCTCCCCAACACAATTCTCTTTTTGGTCACGATATTCTCCTAGTTGGGGAGAACTTTTATACCAAAAAACAGGCATAAATTGTAGAATTTTGTGTTTTGTTTACCAACTTATACAATAACTTTTCTAGATGTATTACCCACTGCATGGGTAATCAATTCAATTAATTTATAAAGTGGAAGTGCACTTTCTTACATCCTGCATCAACCGTATCTCATTCAGGTGAATTTTCCAGTCACTTCCGTTGCTTCATTAAATTACAAACAAAGCTACCTCAATGCTGAGTGCAAAGATTTTCTCCCTTATCTAAGACTTCCTGTCGCAAATCTAGCTCCGAGTCTAAGTGCTCGCACACCGTCCATGGTTAAAGCCTTAAATCAGCTTGGCTTTCGGCCAAGATCTGGGCAAAGGAAATGGCGAAAAAAGAGGCAAAGGTAAACGGTTTTTGCATCTCAGCAGATACTAGCTAACTGAGTTGTTTGACTTCTTCATTTTACCGAGCACTCCATCGCTTTTTTTCCAAGGCCACTGGGAGAAAAAAGGTCCTTAAAGGTTATTGCCAGCCGATTAAGCTTTGGACAGTCACTGAATTTTTTTTTTTTTTTGTTGGCACCCAATATTCTGCGACATGTGAAGAGGCAGATGTGGCGAACGGCTGTCAGCCAAGTTAACAGCGGTGCAGAGTCACTCTTTTGGTTTCCTTTTTCGAGGACACTTTTTGTTCACAAGGAGTTTGGGGGAAATTGATTTACCCGGCTGACATTTTAAAAGTGGCTCGAGTAGCTAATTTACGACCGTCAAAGTGCGCCAATAAATTTCGTTTAATTGCAAGTTAATTAAAATCGAAGCCCCGTGCTTGACTACGAGTACACAGAAGCGAAATTCCATATAGCAGGGCATTTAAAAATAAACCAAAGACGACGTCAGCACGGCGTCTTCCACACATCTATACATATTTTTTGAAAATCATAAAAATACATATAGTTAGAAAGCATAAAATGCGGAAAATATCAGCTTAATTGAATTATTTTAATATCTATCAGTTAGCTAGCAGAAAAGATGCAACTACCGGATTTCGCATCTCGAAAAATGGGAATGCAAATTACAGTTCCAACTTTTTCGGCCACACAAGTTTGTATTCGGATGAGTTTTGGGTGTCCGGCTGTCAATTTATCAAAAATACATTATTCATCTCTAAGATTTTTCCCATGAATTTCGTTAGCCTTGCTGGCCCATTTTCCCCAATAATTAAGTTTAAATAAATTCTGGTCTGGTATATTTATATTTCGAATGTTTCGGTTGTGTTACTTATGGCGCCTGAGGTGCCAAATTGATTGCGTAAACAAGTTTCGATAGTTTGTTTTCCAATCGGAAAATAAATAAAAGCATAAAATTTGAAAATTGTATTGTACTAATGAAAATGGAACTTTTATCTGAATCGATGAGGCTCTTAGGAAAATACGAGTATTACATAAAAAATTATAGCAAAAAGGAATCTTTTCGTAATTTGAACTTAAATATGTTTTTTTTTATCCATTTCTACAGCTTTACATGAATAAGCTCATTTCAGTTCATAAAGAGCTGACGTTTTTATGGCCCATCCGATTTCTTGCTCCACTAATTCCTTGCCAACCAATTTGCCACATTCGGACAGGGTCAGGGATCTGGAGAGCGAGCGGCTCTCTGGGGGCGAATGGCTTGCAATTTGCGATCTAATTAACTTCGATTCCTTTGGCAAGGACATTTACATAATTGCATTTCGTGGCGCATAATTTCGCTTTGGCCACGCCCACATTAAGCTCAAGATAAGAAAAAATTAAACCGTCGCAATCGAGTTAAAAATGAAAGTTGCCGAGGGCCCAGAGCTCCGGCGAAAGGGTAACTCGAAGGATGAAACTGAAATTAGAAAAGCAAAATGACAATGAGAAGAGCAAACGAATGTAATTGTGTTTTGTGCCTGTGCCACTGCCACTGCACTAGTGTTCTGGCCATATGGCGGCCACATTACACCAAAAAGGGGACAGAAAAAAAACCGTCAAGGAAGAGGCAGCGGCGCCAAATGAAAGCCAACTCTAATTAAGTCAGCAATGGTCAAGTTACAGAGACATACAACGCAAAGGGAAAGGAGTCGTTGTCTTTTTTCGGTTGAGTAGATCTAAAAAAAAGTTTCCGCAGATAGTGGAAAAAAACTCATCTTAATTTTCTCATAAATGGCCAAGCCAAATCGGATGATTTAATTCAGGAGTGCACCAAGTCCAGCCAGCTTACTTGGCGCTAATTATAATCCTTAAGCGTCAGACCTGAATCAGAATATCCCATTTCTTTATGAAGGTCTTAAGCCGCCTTAAATGCGAGTATTTTTCTGAAAGACAGAGAGCCCACTCAGAACTAAACTCAAGTATTTGACTTGAGGCTGCTGCAGCGTAGAGTGAAGTGCAAATAAATTAGCCAAAAAATAGCTCAAGAAATGCCCCCAAGAAATGCACTTAACTTTTGCTTGTTGACTCGCCAAAAATATAAAAGCGAAATGCGAAGAAGCCAAACTTTAGACCAGAGGGTCGACTACGAGATATCCATTCTTCAAGAAAAGCCAGTTTGATTTCTAACAAATTTATGCCTATCAATTTTTGAACCCATTGAAGACGGTCTTTAATAAACAAACAATTAGTATGCAAGACGTTTCGTAAGACGATCGGAAGGGATCAATGAAATAATCATGCCTTATTAATATACGATTGGCTTCCTCACGTATTTTAAGACTGGTTTTTCCTGCCTATGTACATCCGATTGGAAATTTTTTATCCGATGCATTGATGTACGCATACATATATGATAATGAAATACATTTTTTTAATTTTTTGTGTTACAAAAAACTTTAAGGAACAATATAATATACCCTCTTCTTGAAACCTACTTTCTGGCAAAAAGTGCAATTTAAATTATTGCAAACTTATTCTTCTCGTTTTATTTCGTTTATTTCGGGCCCAGTTTCGCTATGTAAACTTGGCCCGAAGTTTTCGTTAATCAGGCCAAATTCCTCTGCAGCCCGAGACACAATTGAGCCAGTCCCAAAACTAAAATTGAAGTGGTCCAAAACCAATTGGGCAGAAAACACAGCTCGTAGCAACGAGAGATCTCTCGAGGGCTTCGGGGCAGTAAATTTGGCGTAAAATAGGCTATTGATTTTTAAGCTCGCCTCGGCTTAGGACTGAAATTTAACTAAACTTAACTAAAACGTTAACAGATTTGACTCGCCTGTGTAAATACCCAACGTCTGGTTTCATATGCAAATAAGTCCGCCAGTGAGTTTAATTCGTTGCTATTTAAGGTCTAAATTGTCCCTGGAGACTCTTATGTTTCGAATCTATCTTTTGGCCAAGCATCAAGTGAAAATAAATGACACTCATTTACACTTGTCGCCCCTCGAGCTAGAAAAAAAACACAGTATATTATTCACTAAGTAAACAAAATCCGTACAAAAAGGAAACTAAACGTTGACTAAATCAAAACGAGGGAGAAGTCCTCGGAAAAGCGGACTCCAGAAATAAGACTTGAAGTGGTCAGCCCTAAAAAGTTGGGCTGGGCAAAAAAAAAGGACGTTCTACGACCACTGGACTGTCCACTTGTATTAAAGGAAAAACGCCGCAGGCATTTTAAGTGTTGTTAATGCCAATGCGGCGGCGTCAGGAAAGTTTTTCCACAGCGCAAATGAAACAAGTTTTTCTTGGTTCTTCTATTTTTTTCGACAGCCAGAGCTCACGTTCCATTTTTATGCATTTATAAAAACCAAGGGACTGAAAACTGAAAACAAAACCAGGGGAAAATCGGTGGCAAAGTTGCAGCACTCTTAGTTAACGCGTGGCTGCTTACGTGTGTGTCATTTGGGCTCCTCTTTAGTCATCTCATTTTGGGTCAGTTTCCATTAAAGCGGTCACCATAGCTGTGGTTACTTTGGCTATGTAAATAGAGTTTGAAATTCCAAACGTTTTTCTACAAATAAGAGGATATAAAAAGTATTACCAACTTTCTAACGAGTTAAAATATCCCACGTTGAGCTTGAATTTAATTAAATATTTTAATCAAAAGCTGTGGTTGAATGACTAGACAAATCAATTTAAAATTGTTCATTCGGGCTAAAAAAACATTTATCATTCATAAAATATACAAAAATTGTTATAAATTTTTATTAAAAATCATCAAAAAAAAATTATTAAAAAGTCTATCAAATAGGAAAAAAGATACTTGGTTGATTAGCATTTTGCAGAGTCCCCTTGAACTACCCTTAGCTGATGCACTTTTTTCCACAAAGCAGGGATTAATTTACTTTTTTTGCTGGCCCGCAAGGAACTACTTGGCTTTTGAATAATTTATTAATTGAAATCGCTTTCTCATTTGCATTCAATTAGCGTCTCTTCTTTATTTCATTATTACAGCATTTTCTATCGCCTCCTTGTGAATATTATACATTTTGCAATTCAAATGAATTGGCTGGCATTTTTGCTTGCACCTTTTCGGTGGAATATTTATGAGGAAAAGCAAGTGCTTTTTATCAATGGCAGAGCTGCGATTATTTCATAATTATGACAAAGGCAGCTGAAACAAGGGACTGGCATCATGAAAGGAGAATGAAATTAATTTGTGATACGAAAAAAGCGGAATATCTCTGCTACGCCGAAATGTGCGCATCTGTTTCGCATTATAAATATGTCATATCCTGTTTCCTGCAGGCTTCGCCAAGACACACACCAAGCAGCTTATCAGACCCACTGCAACTGCACTGGGGCCTCAAAGGAAGCCCCTCGCCCCCAGAAGATATCAAAGGGGAAATCCCGGGGCCTGGAAAAGTAGCAATTCAAGCGAAGGTTTCCTCATTTGCTTTTTACAGGTGGGGCGGGTATGGACGGAAAATCGGAGTCGGAAAGGATGTAAACAGGGAGCCGTGTCTTCATCTCCCTGTGTAAATCGGCAGAAA